TGAACACATTCCTCATTGTCATAAGCTCCAACACATTTATGTGCTCGTGCGTGTGGGAGGGCCAGCGATCTGCTGCGTAACAAGCACGTGCCCTCCACCCCAGACAGTGACGCATCCGTAAACACAGATACGTGTGACGCAGGACGTCCGATGGGAATCCCGTGTGAGGGGATGCAGGGATTCCCCCAGTGAGCGAGGTCCCCGCCCACTGAGGGGGGAACCCTCAACATACGTCTCTTCTGACGTATCGGGTGTACTCGGAGGCAGATGAACCAACTTTGCAAGGCGCCTCGAGTGCAACAACCCCAGCAGCACCACCGAGTGGGCTGCAGCCATCATGCCCATGTCTCATGACTAACAGGGCTCTCACGATCTCGCGGGGTTGCACGCGGGAGATCACCGTGGTGAGATCTGCCGCTCTCACCGGCGACGAACGTGCTCTCATTAGAGAGGCGTTCAGCCCCCCCCCCCCCCCCCCCCCCCGAGAAACATAATCGACTGGGATGGAAGAGCAGAGTTCTTCCCCCAGTTTATAGAAAACCCCAGGGTTGTCAGATGCTCTGTTAACCTCCTGGTTTGCACTGACGCCCCGTCCTCGGACCGGGCGCATCGGAGCAGATCGTTCCGGTAAAATAAAACCCTCGTTTCCGCCGTGCGCAGTGGCTGCAGCGCGGTCTCCGGACATTTGGAGAAAGTGCGCTGGGCTAGCGAGTAGCCGAAAGTGAGGCATTCGTGCGCGCGTTCCGACAGCGGACGTGTGCTCGAGGTCACGTGAGCAACGTCTGAGGATTGGTTTCGCGCCCTTACCGCCGTCGCTCGTACCAGAGAAGCGACCCATGGAGGGCTGTGCTCGAAAGAGCAAGTGTGAAACAGCTGGAAGAGGCTGATCCGCACCGCAGAGCGTGGAGTCCATGAAGGACGAGCGGGAGCCGGGCCCGTGCACGGGAACGTCAAAGTGCCAGCGGATGGAGCCGCGCAATGTGCGCGCTTTGCGCGTGGTCGCGACAGCGCCATGACATCCCGTCCCACCCAAAGTTGTGGGGGAAGCGGGATGAGTCGGGCCTGGCCGTAGGCTGGGGGCGGTGCGCAAATGGAGCGCACCCTTACAGCTACCCGTGTAACATGACCGAGTCCGACTGTGTGAACATGCAGATGTGCTGCAGTGCTTGGTGCGGGGAACATCATGTGTGAGGATTCGGCAGAAGGTTCTGCAGAGGACTGTAGGATTGTGCTCTCGATGTGACGTTTTTTGGGTTTTTATTTCAAAACCAAAATAATTCACAGAGTTAACATTGCAGCCATAAGCACACATATTCCCCCCAACGAGTCGTTTTCGTGGTTGTTTTCGGCGAGGTTCCTGTGACTGCCAAGGCTGTGTCTGCTGGCTCGTTCGGAACCGTTGGCCGCCAACTCCCTGGTCCCGCCTCAGCGGGAGGCCGGCTCCGCGGGGCGGGCCGTGCAGCTGGGCGCATGGAGTTTCCGCGCCGTTCGTCCCATCCTCTGGGGGAACGGCCGGAGTGCAGGCTGACCGAGAGTGGACCAGGTCTCGCACCGTGGCTGAAAGTTCAGCTGCTGAGCCCTCTAGATGATGCTCGTAAGATGGGGACCAAACAGAACGTCAGAGGTGATGTGGCCTTCCAGCATCTCTCTGTGCAGGTGTTCAGGAATGGAGGGCAGGGCCATGAGCCACAAGGCCGCTGGATAAGGGTCTGCCAGGCAGCAATGCGAGCAGAACCGGTGAGTACAGCAGCGCACAGATTGAGGATGGCATCAGCAGTTTTAGTAATGATGGTTTTTGACTCGACAGGAGAGTCAAGCTCCTCCACCATTTTGGAAACGCCAAAGGCGAGAAGGAGATGCTATTTCCTGCAGCGCCGGTCTGGAAGGCGCACTGGTGTGCGCGATCGGCGAGCCGCCTCAGCAGCTGGTCATGCTTAGTGGGAACTGCTCGCGGTCCAGTGAGGTGGTTCTTGACGCCACACTGGAAATTGGCGCCTCGAGCCTGGCAGGCTCGGAGAAGGCGGCGGACCAGCAGCTCATGGCAGCGGGGAAGTGCGGCCAGACGAGGTCTGGACAGCGCGTCTGTGTTGCCCCAAAAATTCCCGCCAATTCATCCGCCTCAGGGGAGCCGGTTCTGGAACGGCTAGCCACCTGCGGGTCGCAGCCGCGGAGATGATGGCGGGCAGCTCCTGGAGCAGTGCTCTAACTGCTGGCAGGGAGGAGCGAGAAACCACTGGGGCAGAAGGACCCGCTGAGCGAGGCTCGTCGACCTCCGTGTTGTACAGGAGGGAATAATGGCTGCAGCAGCCAGCCTCTTCGTGCTCCTCACGAGGCTCGTCGACCTCCGTGTTGTACTGGAGGGAAAAAGGGCTATGGCAGCCAGCCTCGTAGTCGACCTCCGTGTTGTACAGGAGGGAAGGGCTATGGAAGCCATCTTCGTCATACTCCTCGCTGTCGATGACATCGTCCAATCGGTAGGAGCCAGCCGGCTCCTGGCCGACGTTGAAGAACCGTAACGCCTTGTCCAGCGAGTACGTGCCAGCCACCGGAATTTCCTCGTCGGTGGAGGGGGTGAAGTACTCGACCCGGCGGACCTTTTCAGCCACTGGCAGAGCGGTACAAAACGGGCACGAGGCCTGGGGGTCAAGGCCAGGCCAGCGTGGTGAGCCCCGAGACAGACCTCACACTTGGCGTGCAGGTCGCCGCTGGAGATGGAGCCCGTCTGGCAGGCCAGGCAGGTCCTGGCGTCGCTGGACATGGTCGGTGAGTAGATTTTTCTTGTATAATTGCTCTTAAAAGAAGCTCTTAAGCTTGGCGTGAAGAGAAAACGGAGGCGAACAGTGGAGTCGCTCCACTTATATAACCCACAAGGGGTGCCCACGTGGTGGGCGTACATTTAAGCTCTTCATGATTGGCTGATGCTGAAATCACCCTTCCAATAGCAGCTCGCTTAAGGGCTAAGACTAGACGAAATAGAACATGTGGGAGGCAAGTCAACACTATTATTTGTTCCTCCAACCATCCTTGAGAAATTGAATTAGTCCAAAGTGGTTAGACATATTATTCAATTAAAATAGGCCAAAGGATTTCCCAGTAAACCATAACAAAAACATCATATCACTGCAGATTTCCTTTTGGGAATGTGGTGCTATTCCCTGTCCAGGTAAATGAAGAAAATGCACTTTGGTCTCGAAATGTAGGTGAACCCAAATTCAAGGCAAAGAGCAAAAGAAATCTCAGGCATGATGTGAACCAGAAAAAGAAGAAGAAAAAAGACAATCAGAATTTGACAAGAGATCGTCGGTATATTTTGGCCATGTCAGACACAGGACAGGTGGGTTATATAGTAAAGATGTGCAGGGGTAAGCAAACCTGATTAAAGATGTGCAACAATACATGAACCGAAAGCAAAAAATAAATAATAATTTTAAAAAATACAATCATAACAGAAGTAAAACAGCAGAAAGTGAAAATCCAAATATGTAGCATTTACCTTTGTCATGTAAAAGATGAATTCCACTTCTCCAGGTTACAGTGGTACTCACGTGTATCAAATAAGTAATCCAATTACTCAGCATGTTTCTGACATCAACAGGATTCCACTTAATTCATCTGTGAAAGCTTTTCCTGGAGATCCAACATGTCCCAAATCCCCCCCCCCCCCCCCCCCCCCCCCACACACACACACACACACACACACACACTTCTGTAATGTGCTTCCAGGATCCAGTCACCAGTGGATTTTCACCCTTTTGGAGTTGATCAAATTCAAGATGGCCACCATAGCTAATGGATCTTAGCCAACATAACTGAAGTCAATTTTACTTACATTTTGCTAACATTTTATATGCTAGCTGTGAGTCATTGCACTGATAATCCAAGCATTCGACTGTGTGGGATCTAATACTGCACATATTTTCAACAATTTACCAAAATGGCTACAACTCCATCCATCATTTCTCAACATCTGGGATTTTCACAAAATGCTAGATCTTGAATTTGTTTAGAATAGGGTAGAATGCCTTTTTCAGGTCAGCGATGAGGTCCTGCCTCAAGTGGAGGAGTTTTAGTACCTTGGGGTCTTGTTCACAAGTGAGGGAAAGATGGGGCACGAGATCGACAGGTGGATCGGTGCTGCGTCTGCATGGCATGATGCAGGCGTTGTACCAATCTGTCGTGGTGAAGAGAGAGCTGAGCTGGAAGGAAAAGCTCTCGATTTACAGGTTGATTTACATTTCAACCCTCACCTATGGTCACGAGCGTTGGGTAGTGACCGAAGGAAGGAGATCACAGATACTAGTGTCAGAAATTAGTTTTCTCTGCAAGGTGCTTAAAAATAGGGCTAGAAGCTCAGCCGTCCAGGAGGGCCTCGCAGTAGACCCGCTGTTCCTCCACATCAAGAGGAGCCAGTTGAGGTGTCTCGGGCATTTGGTAAGGATGCCTCCTCTCTGGTGAAGTTTTCAGGCCAACTGGAAAGAGTGCCAAAGGAAGATCCAGGACACACTGGAGGGACGATGTCTCTCAGCTGGCCAGGGAATGTCTTGGGATTCCCCTGGAGGAGCTGTCCCATGTGGCTGGAGATGGACCTCTCTGCTTAGAATGTTGCCCCTGTGACCCGACCCCAGATTGATGGACAAAAATGGATGGATGAATTACTTTGAGGCTACTTAGTGCTTCTTTGGTTTAGTTAAAGTAATGATGGCAAATTTCAATCTAGGGTATTTAAATGACAGCATCAGACCTGCATATGAGCAGAAACGTCTAATTTTCTCTGATGTCCTGCTTTACCTACATTTAAATAATTGCTCACTGCTCTCCACTTAGAAAGACGCTTCCTGTTGCTCTGATGAGGCTTTTCAAAGTTCTGGCCTCTAAATGTGCAAACACATCCATTCTGAAAGAACACGTGACTCTCCAAGAACATGCAAATCCACACATCAAAGGTGTTAGCTGCTGCTCAGTGAGCCAAGCATCCATAAAGACATTATTAAAAGGTGTACCCTCAGGCTGGTGCAGGATTTGCTGTTTATGCCGTCACCGCGTCCATTCTCCCTCGAACAGTCTTCCTCAGCTCTGTCGTCCATCCTCCAGAATATGCCTTGCGTCTCCACAGCAGAGGGCTCCCGCTCAGTGCAATTTGCTGGCACTTGAGGCATGCAACCCTGCAAATGGATAATTCAAGCATGTGACCCACTTCTCATCCTCAGCAAAGGGGAGAAAAAAGGAAAGCATCCAGTAGAGCAAAAATTGTCAACATCATCAGACTTAGGTCACAAGTGGAAAAGAAAGTCAACATTGCATTGACACGTGCACGCTTTAGGAACAAAAAAGTTTCTGTTTCAACTATTTTAAGCTATGTTATCAAACACCTGGGGATGAACATTCCTCCAAATCAAACCGCATACCTTCCAGCATTGTTCGGGCAGTAACTGAGATCATGAGACCCGCTGATCTTAAACTGAAGCTTAAAGCTTAAACTGGGGCTGTGAAGTCTGGTAAAACCATAATCTTCATCCTGAGAACTTCAGTGCACTGAAGCCAAATATAAACAATGTCAGAGGAGATTTGACTAGCTTCAGGACTGACAGGGTGAACTTGAGGTGCTCTGGTTGACAGTTTCTGCAGGGCAATGTGAAAAGGCTTCCTACTGGAAATGTTAACAGTAAAAAAAATGTAAATATTAAACACTGTATGTCAAAAGACTGATCGGTGCTTAGTTTCTGCATCACCACCTGAATAAGTATATTTTTGGAATAATGGAATTGGTTAAATAAAATAACTAGGTTAAAAAAGTGCATTAATATATATATAATTGTAGAAAAGCAGAATGTTTTGGTAATTTGGATGCATTTCTTATTATCTGGACTTTTCAAATCCGCACAAAATTACCATATTTTATCTATGACCCATTTTACATCAGTCTGCTGGAAAACACATTTGTAGCGGGTGATTCTGCTATAACTAATGCAGCGCTTCAGAGCCACAGCAAAGCACTCCTGTCACCCTGCATAAAGCTCCACTGACATCAGCATCAGTGTCAGCGTCACTCAGCTGAATCAAACGGGGGGAAATGAAAGTCTGACGTGTGCTGAGCACGCTCCGGTTTTATCACCTCTAACTTTGCTGCTGTTGATTTTATTTTCTTTATCTTCTACAGAAATAACAACCGACGCAACCCAAATGATTATCTCACATTCCTGTCGTCTCAGACACAAGTCAGTTGAGGCAAAATGCTTCCCATTCTGAGCCCAGTTCTGATTCTGCTTTTAAAAGTTAATTCCCTTTAAAAGGGAGTTTTTTTCTCACCCTCCTTCGTAATGTTTTACTGTGTTTGCTCAGAATGGTGAAATGTGATGAGCTGAAGGCTCCATGCAATCAGCTGGTTCCTTCTTACAGGGGAAATTTTATGGTTTATCATTAGATAACCAACAATATTAGATTTTATTACAGCTGAAGGAAAATCGCTGCATTAGGAGCTGCATGGTGTTACAGTTGGTAGCAATGTTGCCTCACCACCGGTGGTGCATTAAGGTTGCCATGGTACCCCAAGCAAAGAGATCTGCTGTCTTGTGCAGACTAGGAAGTGTGCAACCCTTCCTCAGTCTGAGCCAGGTGGGGGAGGTCAGGAGGGAGAGGGCTCTGTCGGGGAGTGTGACACGGTCAATGCTGTCAAGTGACAGTTTTTTTTACTGTCCCAGCCCTAAAGTTCAGCTGTGGTAATGTTGAAGGGAGTGCTGTAGCTTCAAGTGCTCTCTGAGCGATTCTCCCCTGGGAGGAAAAGAACCAGGAAAGGTGCCGGGTTCTGACCTGGGCCACAGCCAGCAGCGGTCCATTCCACGGACCAAAAATCAGCAAGTGTGAGTAAGTGTGTGCTTGGTTGTTAGTATGTAGGTGTCCCTGTGAAGGACTGGAGACCTGTCCAGGATGTCCCTCCCCTCTTGTCCAATGATCACTGGAGATAGACACCAGGTTCTTGCGACCCTCGAGAGGCTGAAGTGGGTTTAAATGAATGACCCGCACTTGTATAGCGCCTCTCAGAGTAAGGACTCCAAAGTGCTTTACACTACAGTGTATCATTCATCCATTCACACACACATTCACACACTGGTGGTGATGAGCTACGATGTAGCCACAGCTGCCCTGGGGCACACTGACAGAGGCGAGGCTGCCGAGCACAGGCACCACCGGTCCCTCCGACCACCACCAGCAGGCAACGTGGGTTAAGTGTCTTGCCCAAGGACACAACGGCAGAATTCTCTGTCCAGAGCTGGGATCGAACCTGCAACCTACCGAATACTAGACAACCCGCTCTACCTGTTGAGCTACTGCTGCCCCTAAGATGATGGATGGAGGGAAAACTGCATAAACCTCATCAGAGTGGATCAGATGTGATGCTACACATTGAGAACTTGAAACTGAATTACAGTAATTTGAACAATTACTCAAAGTAAGATTATTTTAATGCTTATAAAAAGCGACGGACAGCATACATACACTCATATTAATGCCTCCGCTTTCATTTCCCTGTTGGTGACCTTTCTCTCCTCTCTATGAATCCTTTTCATCTAACTCCTCACATAGCTCTCATTTCTCAGTTCTTCCTCCTCAGCAGCCTTTAGTGGTCACGCAAAGCAGCGGCTGTTGCTGCTCCAGGTAGCACACTGATGTTCACCGAGCAGAAACGAATGTTATTAAAATACTGTCTGCTGGTGTCTGAGCAACAATGCTGACACTATAGGTGCCACGTGTAACATTTACAAATTTCCCTGAGTGATCTTGTTTACATTTACATGCACAACCGACCAAAGAGGCTCAAAAGCTGCAACAGGTTGACCCACTTCTAAGGAATTTGACCAACAGCAGCTTTGTGTAAACCAATATGAAGCACAAAAAGGTTTCTTTTATTTAGTGTTATAATCTTTTTCTTGTGCACAACCAAAGATTACATGGATTTTCTTCCTTACTCTCACATGCTGCTGTCGCCTTGCAGCAAGATGGTTGCCAGTACAAATCTCACTCTATAGTTTGAATGTTCTCCCCGTGCATGTGTTGGTTTTCACCAGGTGATATGGCTTCCTCCTACAGCCAGAAAACATGCACGCTAGGTCATTTGGAGATTTTTTAACTGTCTCTAGCTGTGAATGTGGGTGTGAAGGGATGTTTGTCCCTGTGTGGCCCGGTCCAGGGTGTTCCCGTCTCTCACCCCATGACTGCTGGAGATAAGCACCAGCTCTATGTGACCCTACTGAGAAGGAAGCAGTTAAGGTAATGGAAGAATGGGGTTTAAAAGGTACTTATGAGATGTAAAAGTGCCACTCGAACCAGCATGTGTTGTGCTCTTATGTCAGCTTTTTAATGAACTTTTTGAACATGCACCACTCGTTCATTAAATTCAGAAAGCCTCTCTTCATTCTAATGAAGAGGAGAGGCTTCATCAAGTAGCTAGTCTACCAGTACAACAAAAAAACAACTAAATATTAGGCTGATTAAAGGTAATCACAGCAAGATTACGGAGTGGGATTTACAAGAAGTTCATTTATTTTTATTTTTTTTTTTACATTAGGAGCTTTTGCATTCACATATGAGGACACTGTCTTTAAGCATTGTATTGCTTTAATCTGTTCACCTTAGATCTGTTGTTACTTAGTAATCTATTTTTAATTATCTAGTTATAAATGTTTACATTTTTATAAGTTGAAATAAAAATGTTCAAAAACAATTATTTAGTTTTTGTTTATGAGGTTCAGATCCTAAAATAATTAGGGGAACATTTTTAAACGGTCACACCAAGACCCGTTTTTATAATGAAAATTGGCACTCAGCGATGATGACAGGCAGAAAAATGCTGCATGATTCTTGGAAATGGTGCATTCAAAGACTGAAAATCAAAAATATATTTGAGTTAAAGCTTTACTGATAAGTAACACTGGTCAATTCTCATCACCTCTTGAACTTTGGTGCATCTCTAATAAAATGTAAATGTCAAAAATGGCTTTTCATGCCTTAGAGATGAATAAATACAACTTTTACACAAAAAAACCTGATTAAATCACGCGTGAAAATGTCACACAGATGCTTATTAACCATGTTGCACCTGCAGGTGCCTTTGACATCTTGACCAACAGTTGAAAGGTAAAATAAAGCTTTTCGATGTTCTATTACACCCAAATGGCCTTCTGACAGAAATCCAGCTGTTTAAAAAGTGGGATAACTGTGTGAAGTTACGATACAGAAGCCTTGAACTTTATAAAGTATTAGATTAATAAAGAATATTATGGAAAAACACCGTAAGAGAGAAAAATGATGCCCCACAGGTGCGTGACAAAGTTTAACTTAAAGATCCAACTGCTGCTTACACGTTTAGATGTTTTTTTATCTTTTAAATAATCTGATTCAGGTCTCCGATTATCACATAAAAGAAAAAAGAAGCCTGTTGTCATGTTTAATCGGATCTCCTGCCCCTGCGCGCTGATGTAAAGATGGAGAAGTGAAAGCACTCACCTCAGCCTCCTCTGGAACAACGTCGGGTTGATGGAGCCGCGCGGTTTTTATTTTTTATTTATTTATTTAATTTGTATTATTGTTTATCTACCAATCGGACGCGCGCGTTGTTTCCCCTCAGACAGCTTCTTTTAAAACTTCTCATGTGGAAAGAAAATGAGGACGGCTGTTCATCACGAACGCTGCTAGAGTTCATTCCCAGCCAGGCAGACTCGTGCGAATCCAACAGAGGCTGGTCTTGTGACTCATGTCCCCGCGCGCTCTGAGCCGGAGGGGCTGGACGCAGCTTGGACAGAGAAGGTCCGCAGGATGCGCTCTCAGGAGAGACCCCGTCAGACTCCTGCAGCCGTCACTGAGTCTGCAGGGAGGCAGGCTTCTGCAAAGAGCCTTCATCGAGAGGCGGGTGTTTAAATTCGAGTCTCCGCATCTCTGTCACGCTGCTCTTTCTCCTCCCATCAACCCCGCCACCAGTTTTCATTCAGTCTAAATCTTGTTGCATGTGTGCCCTTTTCAGAGAAGTGTCACGAGATAGTTCTCCAAGTGCTGCCATTTGAATCCCCCAAACCCATTCACTGTAAATTCAAATAATCAATTATTTCGGTTATAAATCAGTTTGGTCCAGAAGTTTTCATTATAGCTAATTAATGAGGGACTTGACTTGATTTTCTTGCAGGACGCTGTGACCCAGATCACCTAAAAACAAAACTTTTGTCAACATATAGTGCTTTGATGCATGTATTTAAGCACAGAACTTTATACAGTCAAAGCCATAAAATGGCTCTTTATTTCTTTTTGAAACACTTTATTTCTTTGGCCGCTATTGTTTGGATGAATAGAGTTAGATCAAAAATGCAGGAAGCAAAATCCTAAAGATTTTTAGCAGAAACAAGCTGGTTTTAGACTGGATAAAGGAGGGATGATCCTAAGTTGGGGACGGAATCTCTCTTTTTTTTTTCTTGGATTTGTTTCATAAAACAATACAAAATTTAGACATGCAAACAAGTAGATTAGTCATAGATTTAGGATTTTAGGACAGAGGGAACGTTAACAGTCTGCTGATTGTGTTGACTTCGCTGCTGGGGATTTTGATGGTCCATCTTTTTCTCACAAGATTTTAGTCCCAGTTTCTTCCACACATTTTGAGTTAAGAAGCCGAAGATGAAGAGTAAACAGTGACTGCCAGAAACAGTTACAGAGACGCAATCGTGGTCAAAGTAAGGAAAATGTGAAATGGAGTTGGAGGAAATCTAGCTGATGAAGACAGGAAAAATGAGCCCTGGAGTATGTTTATGTGGGTCACAATAACTGAACACAACACAACAGATAACTCAATCCATGCCTTCTGGCTGGTTCAAAGTCCATGTCAATGAAACTTAACACATCATAAAAATCAAAGGCAAAAGGACTGTCAAAGTATGTATTCTACTTTCTGTTTTCTATTAGTTCACTCTGGACAAGATGGATGAATTGATAAAAAATAATGTCTCATAATATTTTTATTGACTCCCTGGTAATTTCCAAAGGTTGACGCAAAATCGATCAGACAGGAAGCACTTCAAAGACAAGGCAGCATCAATGAAAACAAGATTACCAAGGGATTACTTTTGATCTGTATTAGACAGATCACACACTGAGTTTATCAGCGCTGTGTCACTACAGACTGAAATCTGAAGTCTGGAAGCAAAATGAAGATATTTAATCTATTTGTGTTGAAATTTGGATAATGAAACCAGAAAATTCCAGCAGACAGCTTAACTAAAACATGTTGGGTCCCTATTCAGATAAGAAAACTTCATCAAAATCCTGTTTCATTCAGAGAGGATAGAGTTACAGGAGTCCTTGAAAGGAAATGACTTTATAAATGATCCCAAATACGACCCGGATGACTTAGAGGAAATAGTGTACTGAAATATGATCTTCAAGATTAAAATGCATTTTGATTTTTCTGTAGGCCTCTAGTTTTAATTCAAATTAGAAAAAATGCATTCATCATTCCTGCCATCCTATAGGTTAAAATACAGCGATTTTAACAAAGGCTATTATATTATTAGCCAAATGTTCTGCAAATTAGATTAATTTGGTGTAATTAACATTTGTCCAAACTATCATAGATAGCAGGTCAGGGATGAGGTCCTGCCTCATGTGGAGGATTTTTAGTATCTCGGGGTCTTGTTCACCGGAAAGATGGAGCGTGAGATCGACAGGCGGATTGGTGCTGCGTCTGCAGTGATGCAGGCGTTGTACCGGTCTGTTATGGTGAAGAGAGAGCTGAGCCAGAGGGTAAAGCTTTCAATTTACCATTCAAAGAATGTTCCAACCCTCACGTATGGCCACAAGCTTTGGGTAGTAACCGAAAGAATGAGATTGTGGATACAAGAGGCTGAAATGAGTTTCCTCCTCTGGGTGTCTGGGCTCTCATGGGTGAGCTCAGTCAACTGGGAGGGGCTCGGAGTAGACTCACTGCTCCTCCACATCAAAAGGAGCCAGTTAAGGTGGCTCGCGCATCTGGTTAGGAAGCCTCCTGGACGCCTCCCTGGTCAGGTTTACTGGGTACGTCCAACTGGGAGGAGACATAAAGGAAGACCCAGGACACGCGGGAGGGATGATGTCTCTCGGCTGGCCAGATTCCCCTGGAGTAGCTGGACCAACGTAACTGGGGAGAGGGAAGCCTGGGCCTCCCTGCTCCCAGCGACCCGGCCCAGCCCCAGATAAGTAGACAGTAATGGATAGATGGATAAATTACCTTATTGGTTATTTTATGTTAGTATTCTTTACACTACAAACAATAAGGCTAATTATCAAACAAGCATACTGCTTGATAGAGTCTAATAATTATTATCTACAAACAAACTAAAATTTGTTTATTTTTTTAAATAAGTGAGTAAACATTTCATGCTATTCCTGCATGTAAACAAACTAAGAAAATCCCCAAAAAGTGTTCAGTGTTTTAAGGCTCAAGAGGGCACTGTGATAAAACTGTAAGAAATATAACCCAGTGCACTAACTTTTCAGGGTTAGGGTCTGCCAGTGGCAGACACACTCTGGCGGTGATAAAACATCTTTTTTATTGCCTCCACCTTCAGATCGGACCATTTATTTAATATCCACCAAAGATCTCTCTGAAGAACCCACAACATTGACGGCTTCAGCAACGCTGTGCCACTCCGTGGATTTTCTCTTATTTGTTTTGCAAAAGCACCTCACCCACAAGTACCTCAACTTCTGCTTCAAATTGCGCTTCCTTGATCTGTGGTCGCCATGGTTAATGGTGGAATGCTGCAACGAGCTGGCTTATGTATATATGTATATATATATATATATATATATATATATATATATATATATATATATATATATATATATATATATATATATATATATAAGATCGACAAAGCACTTTGCATTGACGATTTATGGAAGGTGTGTTGAGGGCGGGATGTGATCAAAAAACACCTGAGAACCTTTCTAGGTAGTTTGTGATTTATAAAGTGGAGATTGCATGAAGCTGTGCGTACTCCATGTTTGATAGATCACAAACCCACATGGCGTAAGTACATTTTTTTTGCTGAGCCTAAGTACGGTTTTAGTAAGGATTCTACGCAATGTTTGATAAATGAGACCCCCTGGTCCTTTCCCCTCTGATTTGTTATCCTGTTTCCTCTCATTAAGTGTTTACTGGAATCAACTGTCCCTTGTTATCCTACCCACCTTAGTCCTGATTACCTTTATTTGTTTAAACCCTCGGTTTGTGCTTGTCTTTGTCAGATCCTCGTCTTGTCTTCCTGCTCTAGTATCCTACCTACCAATAATTATGTTTAACAGTTCTTTTGCTGTTAGTCTGCCTCCTGTTCCTGCTCTCCCACATTTGGGTCACCATTTCATGGCAGTTTCAGTGCATCCATCCATCCATCCATCCATCCATCCATCCATCCATCCATCCATCCATCCATCCATTTTCATCCGCTTATCCGGAGTCGGGTCGCTGGGGCAGTAGCCTAAGACGGGAGGCCCAGTCTTCCCTCTCCCCAGCCACTTGGGCCAGCTCCTCCGGGGGAATCCCAAGGCCTTCCCTTGCCAGGTGAGAGACATAGTCCCTCCACCGTGTCCTGGGTCTACCTTTAGGTCTCCTCCCGGTTGGACGTGCCCGGAAAACCTCACCAGGGAGGCGTCCAGGAAGCATCCTGACCAGATGCCCAAGCCACCTCAACTGGCTCCTCTCGATGTGGAGGAGCAGCAGGTCTACTCCGAGCCCCTCCCGAATGACCGAGCTTCTCACCCTGTCTCTAAGAGAGAGCCCAGCCACTCCGGAAAAAACTCATTTCGGCCACTTGTATCCGCGATCTCGTTCTTTCAGTCACTACCCAAAGCTCATGACCATAGACCCTTTTACTACCTACGTCATCAAAAGTTGCGCGCGCAGCCTGGCAACGAGAGTGAAGGCTTCCTCATTCACACTCGATACTAAAACAGCGTTTTAAACCCTTTGTTTTGAAGTTCTGAGCACATAAAAATGTCGGGTTGTTTCGTGTATGGATGCCAGAATCGCTTCTCTTCAAGCAGTGGACTGAAACTTTACAGAATTCCGAAGGGAGCACATCAATTTCAACACAATCGGAGGCGTCTGTGGCTGCAGGCCATCAAAAGGGTAACTGCAGACTTTTCTGTTTTTCCCATCCTAACACAAAGCTCAACTATGAATAAAATTGCTGCTGCATGGCTGCAGCATGACCCAAGTCTGGAACATCGAAATGACAGAATTAAACAAATTTATACGCTTTATTTCATGCTTCAAATTAACATTTCATTCTAATTCATCTGTATTTTCCCACTGCATATTAGTATAAACTGTATTTCTCTAAAATTAACACGATTGTACTCTGAGCACGCTAAAAAAAGAAACCTATGCTATACTCACCCTGCCATGCAGGTACAGTTGGCTGTGAAGACGTAGTTCTCTGGTTTGTTTACTATGACCCAAGCCTCGTACATAGCAGTCTTGTGTCCTTGTCTTTGGCTAGGAAGGACTTCTGCCTTCAAGACGCAAAACTCAGAGTCTATGTCGTGATATTTTACTTTCTGTACGTGGCCACAGACAACATAGTTGTATGCATCTAACGATTTGTATGCCCGTAGCGTCTCACGTGTGTACTTACTGGGCCTCTCCACTAAAAACGTATATCTATCGGGCCAATGGATATCGGGCCACTCACCTACATCTTCCACCCATTCCGTAATGCCACAGGGATCTGGGAGTCTGTTGCCATTCGTTAAAGTGAGTTTAATAATATAACATTCAAGATTTGCCGGTGATAACCCCGCAGCGTAGCTTGATAAAGCCTGAAACAACGCCATTCTCTGTTGCCAAGCTGCGCGCGCATTCTCGCTGACGTCATATTGTTTACAAACAGTAAAAGGGTCTATTGGTGAGGGTAGGAATGTAGATCGACCGGTAAATCGAGAGCTTCGCCTTCTGACTCAGCTCTCTCTTCACCACGACAGACCGGTAAAACGCCCGCATCACTGCAGATGCAGCACCAATCCGCCTATTGATCTCACGCTCCAGTTTTCCCTCACTCGTGAACAAGACCCCGAGATACTTAAACTCCTCCACTTGGGGCAGGACCTCATCCCTGACCCGGAGAAGGCATTCTACCCTTTTCCGAATCCAGACCATGGTCTCAGATTTAGTGTAGTTTCATTGCAATATAAATAATAATAATTATAGTAAAATAACTAAATCTAACCCTCTGACCTCCTGAGAACCTGCATCCACATATGTGGACATTAAATCATTGCACTATAAAAATGTATTCTCTTCATCTTATACCTTTTTGTTGTTATGATTAGAGACACCTGATTTTGATATTGATTTCTTTAGTAAATTTGACATTTTTATTTATTTTTATACTTGTTTATGAGGGTCGACTAACCTGCATAGATGTCTTTTTTCTTTAAATCACACCAAATACAAATCTGGGTCTCGGGAGGTTAAGGTATACTTTCTCAGTTTAGCTTTTTGAGATCAGGTTGATTTGTTTATGTAATTGCAGTATGAGTACAGGTCAGTCTAAAAAACATTTACAAAATGATGCAAAAGTTCATTTATTTCAGTAATTCATCTTGGACTGAGAGACCAGTCAAAGCCTCAGTAACCCTTTTCTAGAGCTTTGGATTAATTAGCTGATTAACGTGTGACACTTTGAGTCTAGAATATTCTAACTTTCTGAGATTTTGAATGTGGGGGGTTCATATGTCATAATCACCACAATTATAACAAATACAGGCTTGAAAAATCTGGCTTTGCATGTCATGAGTCTGTCTCATATATTAGTTTAACCTTTTAAGTTGAATCACTGACATAAATTAATTTTGTACCAACATTTGTGCGTTCAATCTGTAGTCTAACTTTCTGCAAACATACAAATAATGTTTTAAAAATATTAAACCAGTAATGAGCTGTTGTGTTTAGTAATACAGCAAAAATGATTGCTATTCTTTAATAAAGGTGATACAGTTCATTTTAAAGTAGGTGTAAATGTTCATCTAGTTATATATAATATAACCTAGACCAACATATATTGTTGCTGATTTAAAATGGCTGCAGTTTCCTAAATTTTAATTTTTTATTTTGAAATAATTCCTAATTTGTCAAATTTTCATAGGATTTATGTTTATTATGTTGCCTGAAAGAGCAAAGGACACTTCCAGTGCATCCAGGGGTCAAGCCTGACAGGAAATTGTGATAGAGACCACCCCCTAGTTGTGAATATCGATCCAGTTTTAATTATTAGACTGATACTGACGTGTTTAAAAGATGACTAAGATTGACCGATACCAGTGACTATGCAGATACTTTGTGCTTTCCTAGTATTTTGCCAAAAGTTGAACTTTAAATTGAACTTAACCTTTAAAAAGATATGCAATGGTAAAACAGAAAAAACAAGAGACACATGCAGCATTAATAAATCTTATTATTCAACAGTAGTCACAATACAACATCAATGCTTTGCTAGTGACGGGTTCTAATAATCCCAGTATATTGTATAGTTACTTTGTTGTACATTGTTGAGAGGCACTTCCAGTAAGTCTGGCAATCGAGGAGCTACAGTATTGTGTCTTAATTACAAAACAGTAAAAATAAATACTTTTTTTAAAGACATTAGTCTTAATATATTTTTGAATCTGTACAGTGTATATTTTATACAAAACCAAACAAGATACTGAAATAAAATGTCATTTTTTCACTTAAATACTGGTGAACCACACAAGTCTCCCTCCATCCTGTAGGTATTGCTACATTTGTTAAGTGCAAAATACTGGAGAGAAAGTCAAGAATTGAGCCTGCAGGTGGAGATGAAAACACACCAGCCTTGTTTGTCTACAGTTAAAGATGGTGGAAGGAAAAAAATACAATGTTGTTTTGGTTTTCTTTGTGACAAACGAGAAAAAGCTTTCAGTGTGCACACGTGAAAAGCTTTGGTTTGACACAGGAGCATGTCCCTCTTTGTAAATGAACTGAAACAAGAAACGGTGGTAAAAGCAGACGTGTTTTTGGTTTGCGGTGGCTTCAGGCTGAGAACAGAAGGGCTGGTGAGCTACGTCGTCGCGCTACGGCAGTGAAAAAATCCCAGTAAAGATGCAGACAACACTGCGAGCTCTGGTCCTTTAGATAACTGCTGAGAATTCTGGATTTTCTTTAAAATGTCTGCTGTCACATGAGATCATAACACATGCATATATCCTCACCCAGTTCTAAATAACATTGTCAAAGATTTTTTTTTAAAGTGACATTTAGAAGATGCTTTTGTTTAGGGCTTGTTTTGTGCAAATCACCAAAAGTGGAAAACTAAATAAAACATTGTTTTGGTTTGCACAAATAATTCCAGTCAGCAGCTAACTTTTTCTGTCTTTAAGGAAATGCATTTATTCTTGCTTTGGGTAAATGAAATTATAGTTTTTCTGGGCCTTTTATTTATAAAATGTGACACCCAAGAGAGAAAGTGTGCCAGGCACAAAACAAAAACATGGTCTAGAGACCAAAATCAGGTGATTCTTGCATTTATGGATGTTTCTAAATGAAACACGGCAGTCAGAGGCAAGTTTTAACCTTCCAGTCATACAAATCTCAACCTGGTTAAGTTTCATGAACTTTTATGCTTAACTATACTTTGTAATAACAGCTTTGCATGCTTTTCTGTAACAGAAATCCTAAAATCGCATAAAGATGGGCAGAAAACCCTTTCATTTTTATTGTTGACATATTCCATGGGCCAGCCATAACATTATGACCACCCGCCCAAATTTCAGTGTTTTGTTTTTGCAGCTAAAACAGCTCAAACAGTTCCGGGGCTATTTGGAGTATCCGGCACGAGGATGTTGGAATTGAGTCTTTGGGACCAGGTGGATCGTTGGCTTCCACAGATGCATACTGATCATTATCACCAGATTGGTGTTTTGATTAGTTTGTCTGTTGGATTAACATTTTTTTCTGCCACTTCTGCAGGGGTTGTAATTGTTTAGGAAGGAGATGGCATCAGTGTGAATGGCAGAATGGAGATTTTCCAACAAGAAGTGGTTTTAATGTTATGACTGAAGGTGCTGATTTTTTTAAAGTTGGAATCTTGTTAAAAAATTAAATTATCTTAATTGTTCACAGGATAAAATAATAATATTTTACTAATTTAACCGTAAGAAAAAACATTTATTTTTTGTTTATGCAAATAATGAATTATCTAATGAAGATCTGCTTCCCCACAAGTGTCAATAACGTAGTCCTTGATGAGAAGTTGTCTATGACTTATGGGTCATGCCCATGCTTTATAGTTTACTTAAGACAAGTCAATTACTTTATGCATTGTACTTCACATAGTTTTTGTTTGTTTGTTTTCTTCGAAAAGGCAGCTGTATTTAAGACAAGTCTTTATTCACCTTGTATTTGGTTCCATTATGTAAGTCTGTTATTTTTGTTGTCAACTAAAGCTCATAGTCTGGGAATAAAATATGGGTACAGCAAAGACACATCTCCAGATTTTTGAACCCTCCTAAATATGATTAAAAATGATAACATTATAAATACACGTATCATTTAAGATGTTGCTGCATGGTTGATGTGGCTGCTGGACTCCACTAAATGGCCACATAAGAGAAATTAAAGTTTCTTTAAAATGAAAGCAGGCATAACATAGGTGCCTTCTAAAACCCTACACAGCTCTTGTAAATACTTTTGTCATGCACAGTGTTGAGGATACCTGCAGACTCAAATGTTACCATGGCTGACCTTGTGGTTTCATCACATGCAGTCACAGTTCTCTCTATTCTACACTCACATATTGCTTTTTTCTGAATGAAAATGCTTGCGTTGTTGATTTCTAAGGACTTGCACAAACAGAGCTCCAAACAGAGGCACTATCCACATGGCTGCTATTATACACACACATATGAACCAACCGTCATGCTTTTGCCTGGTTTACAACATGCTTTAATGTTTGGAACATATATAGCAACTCATACATCTACACCAGCCTGGGTTCATTTACGTCTCTTTGATTACTAAAGTGAATTTAGGAGGCTAGAATAATGGAGGAAAGGCAGAAACATGTTTTGACAACTGAAATGTTTTGGATTAGTATGCATCAAATGTAGATGAAATCAGAAAAAAATTACCACAATCAAAGTACCATATTTTCCGGACTATAAGCCGCTACTTTTCCCCACGCTTTGAACCATGCGGCTTATAATGAGGTGCGGCTTTAGTCAACCAGAAAGGATGGATGCTGGAAAGTCTAATGCAGGAATGGTTAAAGGAGTGCTACGGAAAGCGCCCAGGATGATTTTTTTTCACAGTAAAACGGCGCTGCTTGTTTTCCCAGCTTCACCCCGGGATGATGACAGCAACACAGAGAGCGACACTGAGATCACCACAGAAAAGGTATGTGACGAAGCTCTTCTGAGGCTGTTCAACTCCGACACTGAAGAAGATGATGACTTCAGTGGTTTCAGTGTGCAGGAGTACGATGAATAAACTAATCAATAACTTTTCTGTCTTGTTTGATACTGATCAGTTCAGTTACGTTCAGTTAAACTACGTTTTCAATTCAGTATATATCTGCGGCTTTTAGCCCGGTGCGGCTTATATTGAGGTGCACTCTATAGTCCGGAAATTACGGTAAATCAGTAGTTAGTTAAAAAAATAACATTTTAACTGTATGAGAAGCAAATGTAGGAGGAGCAAACTTAATTGGTTTACTTTCCAAAATTAACACAAGACTGAAGGAATTGCTAATGCTAACAGTTAGCTTCTACTAGCCAAGGTGTGCTCTGCTCTCTCCTGGACACTAAAATAAACATCCTTTCCTGTTGTGAGCCATGATGGGTGAGTCCATGCTAATTTGGCATAATGGACGTGCAATTGTAACTAGCTTTTGTAATCCGGGTGTTTTCTTGTTTGTTTTCTATTGTCGATTAACACAGGAAATAGGGGTAGGACACTATTTTCACGTTCAGCCTGATTGTTAAACTCAAGAGTGAGCGATTATATTGAAAAAAATAATAAGTAGAAATGGTTTCTCAGTGAACTTGGCCTTTAATGAATTGCATCAAGAAATCAGTGGAAGAAAAATGCTACAACGAGATCTTAAATCCAACTTTTAAAAAGAATTAGACCATTCTGTCCTTTTTATGATATACTGTTAATCTTGGAGTAAATTACCATCCATCCATCCATCCATCCATCCATCCATCCATCCATCCATCCATCTTCTGTCCCTTATCCAAATCTGGGTGGAAAATCAGACGACTATGTCCCAAGGTGTTCCTATACCAGGGATGGCCCTGAGGTCTCTCCTCCTGGAGGGATGTGCCTGGAAAGTCTCCAACGGGAGCCAACCAGGAGAGAGATCTAGATTGCACACTTTCAGAATCATTTCAAACTTAAATTGACTGATTGTTCAGCTGAATCTCCTGCCCTCAATTTGTCAATCTGTTGTTTCCTTCTGCCATCACTCATAAAAAAGACATCACGATTCCTAAACTCCTCTACTCAAGGGAGAAACTCACTTCTGACCCTGATGGAGCTTTGCACCATTTTTCTGTAGAGATTTAATACTTATAACTTTACTTCCTATTAAGTAGTTTTAACATAAAAAATGGTGCTAAGCTTTTCAAAAGCAGGTCTTTCTCTGAAGGCCGAGTGAGCGAACATTCATCACACATCTAAGTCTTTAAACTAAAACATGAATAATAATCTGGAATTCTGATCCAGCTGGGCTTTCTGATTCACAGAATTACACACAAGCTCTTGAGCAAAGAGTGAGAGAGCAAAGACAACAGGCAGTCAAGGGTATTATGCTGCACACTTTAGCCCTCTTGTGCACAATGGGCATTTTGATAACAGTGCAACTGATGCAGCCAAGGCTTTCTTCACAATTTGAGCAGTATTAGCACATTCTCAGTAAAGAAACTGCACTACAAAAGAGCAAGTCCTGCCAAACATAATAATACGCAAATAGGCTTGTTTAATTGATCGGATTGTTTGTTTCCATCCAAATTAGGAAAAGGTGTTTTGTTTAAAGGAAACTTAAGTTTTTGGCTTGCTGGGTTTTGTAAGTGATCAGTTATAACCCAGAAACTCACCAAACCATACCAACTATCAATAACTGTCATCATTTAGTCCCATCCTGCTCTTCAGCTCGTCTGTCGGGGATCTGCAGCTGCTCAAACTCCATGTCTGCTTAAGGTTTAAAGCAGAAAGACAGAAGGGCAGTTCAGACATTTATCTCTTACATCCATCAGCTCAACTCTTGCAGCTTCTCTAAGCAAGACATGTTCCTTCAGCTGTAAGAAAAGATGCATTAAAGCTCGAGTAAAGGACCAGTAACACAACCTGTCCAGCTTTACTTCCTGCAGACTGACAGTATCAGCTTCTCATTTGCATAAAGTGCTTTCACTAATTATGAATTTTGTTTTGTTTGCTACAACTCAGCCCCTGCTACACCATCATTAAACAGTTTTTGATACTCCTCCCATATTCTGCTTTTCTTAAAAGATGACCTCATTGTTTCCTCATTTTCCTCTTTTGCTTTTGTGAATTTAATAAAATCCTTAACTGGGACTCTACACACAGTTCTGTGGACAAACAGCGCCACCTGGATGTCATTAAGCTATGTAGGGTAATAAAGATTGATCCCTACCCTGTCCGATTAATGTTTCCCAAAGATTCTGCATTTGATCCCTCACAGACTCCTGTAACATTCTACAAAAGCACCCATTCTTTTCTAAAAATGTCTCAGAAAGCAAATGAGGATAAAAATCTGCTAGATGGAAGGACACTGGAAGTCCTTTGTGTTTCTGCCTTCCTGAGTTGAGCGGCCTTGAAGCGTGTAGGTGTGCTGTAGAGAGAGTGAGAGAAAGACCTGGGAGAAAAGGCAAAAGTAAAGCTTTCTGAGCAACAGACCTCTTGGTTAAATATTTTGTGTGTGTGGAATGTGTTTTTCTGCATCATGAGAGTGAGTTCATGGGTGAATCTGTGTTGTGTTAGTGTACCCAACGCACAACCACCAACTCCTCCCTCACAGCGTTCCCTGATTTTCATCCCGTTTTCCTGATGAAAAGGGTTGCTGCATGTCTCCATCCAAATGGGTTGACAGTGTGGAACTCTGCAGGAGGAGTGGATCCGTGTGTTTGGTCTGGGTTAGGGCAGCTCACCAGATCCAGAGTAAAAAACTAAACTGAAAACAAATTCAGTCCATATTTAAAGTTTATTATTGTTTCTTCTTCCGTTGCTTCCTCTTTGCTCATCTCCCTCCTCGTCAGATGTACCGGTTTATGTGTTCATCGCAGTCCTTAACCCTGTTTTATTTAGGCACGTTTTACCCAAAACATCGTCTACAGTGTTGTGTCAAAGTGATGTGCTGGCTACCATAGAAAGAGTTCAGTTAAGAAACAAAATGGTCAGATTCCTGGTTTAAAAAGAGGTTCAAGTTCATAATCTCTTTTGGGATCTTCCTCTTTTTCTCCTGAAGTCTCTGATTGTGGAAGGATTTCCTCTTCCTCTAAAGCTGAAACCTGCTCCATTTCATCAAGGTCGTCCGCTAGCTCCTCCTCTTGCTCTTTGCTCACTTGCTCCTCCTCCTCCTCGCGGATCGCTGTGATGGGATCACTGGGGTTGCCTAAGCAGTTGGGCTTTGCCTCCTTGGTCTCCTCAGAGGCTTCTGCTGCAATCACACGCTTCCACATTTCATGGTTTTCCAAAATATGCTGCGTGATCTGGCAAAACACATTTCTTCTGTGCATTTTTTTGGTTTCTTGCAGCTCTGTAAGATAAAAGACAAAAGGCATGAATATAAAATCAAAAGTAATTTTAAGCATCTCAGTGGGCTTTAGCTGTTGGAGACAAATTGCATTTGTGGGGGAGGTCTTTAAACATTTGCCAATCTCAGGGCCTCTCTCTGCTGTTTCACTCTTCAATATATTTGCAAAAGAAAAATATGCCCTCTAGATAGTTGGACAGTTACTGATGGTGCCTGGAACCCATCTTTTAAATGGATAGTTTGTAGTTTCGGCTAGCTTTTAGCACCCCCTACGGTCTGTTTGTTAAACCAAATGTGAAACCTATCTCCTCCTGTGAGTTTTGATGTCTTCTTTTAATCTGTCCCCCCACTAGTTTATAGCTGCCTTGTTGCAAAGTAGCTTCCATACAATTTCTAACTAAATGATTTGAAAATGTTTTAGGAAAACACATTCTTTCTTGAAACTTCTGCATCTCCTGTAGTAGTCACTTGATTCAGCTATGATGACTTGTCTGAGTCAGTTACAGAGAGAGAACCTATGGAGGTGTCTTCATCTGCGATGTCCTCCTCCTCTTCTGTGTCTTGTTCCTCCTTTCCCGTCTCTGGGTCCAATTCCCCATCAGACGGGTCCACCCAGCGCCCCGGCATGAGAGCAGCAGAGTCGTAGGAGGAGCACAGTGGGCCCACTATGTGTGTGATGAAGGATTCCTGCAGTTTGGCGAGCTGCGGGGCAGACCGGTCCATGAATGGACTGATGGGAAGGCCCATGGCTGCTTCTTCATCACCCTAAGGGGATTTAAAAATGCCTGTTCAGTAAGTTACACAAAAAATGTGCTGAGGACAGGGGTGGGGTATCAATCATACTTGAAACAGGACCTGAGAGACCCGTCATCCTTCAGCTGATCATCTGTTACGTTTCAAATAGCTAAAATTTTGGCAATCAACTTGTTGGTGCTAAACTTGTCCTGATCTGTGTCCGTTGTGGTTCTGAGGTTTGTTTATTCTCCTCTGACCACCTGTTAACTACACACACCTGCCTGTAAATCATCTGTTCTTTATCACCTTCTACAGCGTATAAGCTCCCTTCATTCTCTCCTCTCAGATTCTGTTGTTAGCCCTCACCGTGTCTCCTTAGGTTTTTCTGGTGTGAGTTTTTTTGTCGTTGTGACAGACTTAAGGAAAAGATCTGATTTAAAACAATTTCTTTGCTGAGTCATGTGTTATGAGTCAACACAGAGCCCATTTGTCCTTCGAGTAAGGACGCCTTTTAATGCCTGAATGAGTCATCGGTCATATTAGATGTGTCTATGTAGAATAACAGACCAAGGCCACTTTAGAAGACTGACTGTTCACATAAAGAATGATGATGATGGACTTTTGTAATTATGTTTGCTCGTAGTTGAAAAAATTCAACAGATACAGACGTATCTGAAAATACACGCAAGAACGTATTAGTAAGTGTCCCACATACTCAACCTCTGGGTAGAGGCTCCTGAAAGTAGGTCAAGACGACCACAAATAAAAGATAATTTCTAACTGGAGCTAATCTGTTCTTTCTAAATCAGACTGAGAAGATTTCCCTGCAGTTATGTCAAGTATTTGTACTCACACAGTCAAAATAAACCTTGGCAGAAACATTCAGACTAGTGTGAGTCAGAATAAAAGGAGACTAACATTTGAGATGTTTTGTAATCAGTTTAGATAAATTATAGATAAAGTAAAGTTGTGTTGCTTCTTATCCCTGAGATACTTGAAGTCCTTGTGTCCAAATATCTATCTGCAGAGATAGATAATAACATACATCTGACAGGTAGAGTGGGATTAGTCTGAAGGAATATTAGTTCCTGCAGATCATCATCATGAAATAAATAACTTTAAAAGCGGGGTTTATGTTGCAGAACGGTTCTGAATACGATTTCAGTGCAGGATGCTGCTGTTGTGTTTGATGTTGGGGCTTCCATGCTGTTGAAAAAATGGAGTAAGTGATCCAATTGCCATGGCAACCAAAAACCTGGATGGCGTCAGTAATTACTGTGAGTGGTTTGTGTGTAGAGCTGCAGTCTGAGTGAGGAGAGGAAATTTAGACTCCAATAACCAGGTATTTCAGATGCTTTGGATGTTGAAGTGACGCTCGGCGGAGCAGAAAGGAAATGTGTTTGTTTACATGCGAGCCAACTCTGAACCAGAGAAAGCCTGTGATGTTTCTGAATGAGGGCTGTTAGGGATGACACATTTAGGTCAATCCGTCTCCCCAGTGGAAAACGAAACCACTCACAGCCTTGGCGTTTCGATGCTCGCCCCAATTATCAGAACGCAGTTTTTATAATTCCAGCAATACCAGTTGTCCTCATTGGAACAGAGTAAACATACGTGTCATTTGCTGATACTGTTTGCTGGGGAAAAAATGAATGAAACCTTCTAAAAAATACTTCTGTACATGTGCCAGTACATGTGTCTTAACATGAATAAATGTGCATTTACAACGTGGTTGCTAGGCAATATTTCTATTTCTGTGGCTAATCATAATTATCTTTATGGTAGTTCAGAGAAGGATTTGTTGCCAGGCTTCGGGCTACATTGACACATTCATGAGCCGATAAGTGCTTTGAAAGTTCTGTTTCAGGTAGAAGGAACATGCATTTACACACAAAGGGTTCTGGGTTAAGTGTCCTTAAGCATAAAACAACTTTAAATCTTGGTTATGTGCAGAGGTACATGTTTTGTTGCAGTCCTTGATCCTGGGGAGGAGAGCAAAGAGAAACGGCCTTTTGAGATCAGGGGGAAATAAAGGTGGTGGACCTAAACGTATTTAAAGAGTAATAATCAGATTTCATGTTCTCTCATTGACCTGTGCACCAAACTACATTTTAACAAGATGTCTGTCCAACTTGTTTTAGGTTTTGTGAGGGATCATGCTAATGCATTTTATGCTTAAAAAAATGATTTACAGCGTTTGTAATTGCTGTCAATGAATGTAAAGATCAACAATGTCGTTAAATTATAAACAAAAACATTCCAAGTAATTTTTCAAATCCATATTTTTCAATCCAGGATTTACATAATGGTAAAGTATTTTGAATGGTCAAACCTCTTGACCCCTGGTGGCTAAGGTCATTAAAAACTGAAATCCCTTCACCTGTTTCAAGATAGTTTAGTTTTCAATCATATTACAGAAATGATGCAGCCTCTTTGAGTTCCGCCATGACGGTAAGTCACAACCTGAGTCATTAGTCTCCATGGTTATTCTCACCTGTTCCGAGAGGAGGAATTCACAGCATCAGTCTTCATTCCTTTATTAAATGAATATTAATCATCTTTGTATAAAATATTCTAACCCCACCCCAAATGTGCATTTATTTAGTCCAACCTTTATGGGTTTTAAATGTTCTTTTCAGAGAACGTAGAACGGTCTTTCTAGGTTTTATAGACTTACTTGTTCATAGAACTCATTGACAATCCCTTCTGTCCACTGCAGATGCAGGTCTTTACACTTAAGTGGCCCGTTGACATCGGCTAGCTTGATGCACATCTGACACACCAACAATCGGTCGTTCTCATTGCTCCAATCAATTCCCGATACTCCGTCGTCACCCACCTGAGGAGATGGGAGCAAAAACGAAGAACAACTGTGTGACAGAAGAGCTAAAACAGAGATGAACCATTTAGAAACAGCCCGAGTGCCTTTCTTTACCTTTGCATTGAATTCTGTGAGGAAGTCAAAGTGCTTTTTTAGGTCAGTGGCCAAAATGGCTTCAATGACAAGGAAGCGGAACCGCTTGAACTCTACATGTTCAAGATTAACTAGGAAGTTAAATTCAGGTTGGGACATGAAGAGGTTCCAGGCTGCGGCTGCGTGATGATTTTCCAAAACGGATCTGTCGTTGTATAGAAGAGCCTGAAGTAGAAGAAAACAAAGAAATGAAACTGTGTTATTAGAACTAGTTATTGGAACGTTGAAAGAGAAAGGGGCTCCTTTAGTTGCTTTGATCTCATCACATTTTTCCAAAGGTGTTTTGCAAATGAGAAACTCTTGACCCCGACAACTTATAGTTAAAGTAACGATGTACATTTCCCCTGGCGACAGGGGGCAGTGCATACCTAAATCATTGCAAGCAAGAGGATTTTTTTGTGTTTAAGTAAGACATTACGAACGGAGGGCCATTAAGGTCAAAAATACCTGGTAGCACAATTTTCGAACAAGTACTTTGATTGTTCAACTCCAGCAAAATGACAACACATCAGACTCCCTTTCATCACTGGCAAAGAGTGAAGAGGAAAATGTTTAAAACAACATTTCTGAATGTCGAATGTTTTGTACCCCCTTGTTAACTCATTCGCTGCCAGGCATTTCCTGATCGGTAAAGCCCTTCACTGCCAGTGTTTCTCACCGTTTTACAGTTTTTTTAAGTCACAGAACGTCACTGAGCGTGCTAGGATGATGTCGACGCCAAAGCAGGAAGAATCCGCGCGTTTCGAGCTTTATCTGTTCTTTCATAATCCGTTCTTGAATTGTGATCGGCAGAAGCTTTTCCGGTTCGCGCCTCACTTTTTTTTACAGCAGCAGCCAAAAACAATCTCCTAACACATGGATTTTCTGCTTCCTGATCACGTGACGTGTGACATACGCAGATGAAGATCAGCTTTAGAGCTGAGATGTTTTTTCTCACGGTGCGGGGGCTCGTTCCGATGCCCACACAGTAAAAAAATGCAAATGACAACTTTAGTCATTATTGGTAGAGAACGGTTGGATTTAAAATGACGACTTTAGTCGTCAATGGCAGTGAATGAGTTAAAAATCAGTAAATGCGTTTTGTCCTTACGGGCTCCTGTAGAAGGAAACATGGTGTTGCCCAGAGGCATAGGCTCAATCCCAACACTTGCACTGGACTCTACCGTCTTTTGTGAAGTGCACAAGGAGGAAATGTGCAGTAAGGCTTTGAGTGTGTGGTACACAAGTGTGCAAATAGTCGCCAAATTGGGACAGGGAGGATTGCATCATTGACCGCAACACACGCCGGGATGCTGGGCGTTGTGCTACTTTCTAGAAAAAAACTTTATTAACAACTTTCAAACAAATAACAAAAAACATAATTGAAATAAATCTACATTCATTGTTGTTTTGTCTAAAACATCCAGAGCATCAATTAATTGTACTAAAATGAACTACTTTCATTTCAAAATAGATATTTTCAGAAAAGACACTTAAGCCATTTCTCCCACAGCAGTGGATCGTAAATAATAACCTTCAATTGCACGATCGCCCAAGTCCAGATCAATGCGGACTTGGGCAATCGTACAATTGAAGGGCGCAAATGTGGAAGTATTGGGATTGGGCCATAGGCCTGCTCCCATGTATTTTATACCTGTTTTATATGGTTACATGTTACAGAACCGTCAATATTTTTCATACTTTTAAACGGCATTTCGATGGTTATTTCCAGGTGGTAAAAACTACACATTGTCGCTTTAAAGTAAAATAACACTGAGGCTCTTTAATAATTATTTTACTTTTTCCTTTTATAACCAAAGTTTTTATCATTTTATATATTTAAAAAGTCATGCTAAATATTCTATTTGCAATCATTTATAAATTTAATTACATTCCCGTAGATTAGAAGACCCCATGCCAAATGATCCCTGACAAACAGCAGGGTCTCAACTAGGGATGCACCGATGGATCGGCATTTGATCGTAATCGGCCGATAGCGCCCCTATCGGTTTTGATCGGAATTTTCAAAATAGATCAAAGCAGACCGATCAGGTAGGGTTGTCACGGTAACCAGTGTAGCGGTAAACCCCGGTAAAAAAAAAAAAGTTGACAATAATAATAACCGTCTTGTTTTTTAAAAAACTATATTATCTTGGTGGGTTTACCGTGGCTGCGGTGTAGGCGCGGTGACCCTTACCAGCCACCGTATCATCGGCTGAAGTTGCCGGCGGCACAGACGCACGCTTTGTTTACAACAAAACTTTCTTGAAGCTAAAGCTGAAATAATGGTCAAAGGAGGAGACGGCAGCGCTCAGGATGACATTTATTATCCCTCAAAGAAGACAAAGTCAGAAGTACGGGCATATTTTAGATATTTGAAGAATGCCAAGGGAGTTTATAGAAGACGGACGGCTATCCTGTTTGCAGCACGTGCAGAAAAAGTGTCTGTGAAAGGCAGCAACGCTTCGAATGTCATGACACATCTGCGTGACCATCACCCACAACTTTACAGTCAACGCAAGGCAAGCTAACGTTAGCGCTTTAGCTAAAATGCGTGATCCGAGGATTTGGGTTGAGGGAGAATGCAACGAGTCGCTATATAAAGCAGCCGCAGCGCCGCTACCTGCATGTAAACCGTGTCGCGGACACCACTGTGTTGAAATGACGCTATTGCATTACGGGGCTCCCAGGGGCAGATAAGAGTTGGTCTCTCTCTGAGAATAATTATGAATTTAACAATGATTACTGCCTGATGACATTTTCCCACATCTGCAAAGCTCCCTGGAAGAACACAAACCGAGGACAATATTTTCCTGATATACGGATTGCTCAAGTAAGGGTAAAAAAAAAGTATCTGATTAGAAGGCTACTTGCAGTAGCGGTTTTAGGCACGGGCAGACAGGGCAGTTGCCCGGGGCGGCATTTTTTCATGACACAAAAGGGGCGCACAAGCGCTGAGTAAAAAAAAAAAAAAAAGGAAATCTGCGCCGCACCGAGGTTTTCTATTATCTGTCATATGACAGTGTCTGGATTGAAAACAGCAAGTTGGCGCCCCCTGCAGCTGCAGGCGCTCCTGCTGACTGAGAACGTTCACGTGCACCGTGTGTCTATGAAGAACAGGAAGGGGAGGGGTGCGGCGGGGGAATTCACCTCTGCGTCTTTCCCAAATGAAATGAGCGTGCAGGGGCTGAATCAACTGTATTAACATGGCTAAAGTCAATCACATCTTAACGTTCTTCCATTTTTCATTCATAATATCATAAACACAGGCCTATCATTCTTTCAGGTTTCTCTGAATTGTGTGAAATGGCCGAATAAAAAAAGGAAAAACAAACGATTTTGTGGTCACCCCCCCATCAAGGTCAAATTGTTCAGTCCTGACTAAAGGAAACTTACTGAGTCAGGAGCCAAACAGAAGAGATGAACATAAAAAGGCTAAAACCACCAGTTGCCCCATTCAGGGGGAAAAAAAAGAAAAAAGAGGAGAAAGATAAAGGTATGTAGCTCTCATGATGCATGTTTTCAATTTTTTGAACCAGTTAACTGGGATTTTAACGGTTAAATGTGGTCAACTAATTGCTAACAGAGCTAATAGGACTGAAATATTGAAACGAACATTCAAATGGTTCGAAAAAAGTCCTTGAATCGTTTTTTACTGATTCAAACTAGGATTTGTTAAATGCTCGCTGCAGCCTGTGGCCTGCCTGAACAACAACAAACACATGTTGATCATGTTCACATAATAATAAATAAAACAACTCTACAAGCAGAAGAAAACTCCCCAGTCACCACTAACTATCCTGTTTGTTTATTGCAGATGGCTGCACTGATAATTTTTTACATGATTTGTTCTGTAAAAGTTGGCATTTTTGGTAGTCTACAGTTTTTTATGTCAGTTTAAATTACAATTTCAGAGGCAATTCTGAAATATTATGGATCATGATAAAGATCTATTGGAGATCTACCCCAGCTTTTGGACTGCTCTGCCAGTCACTGTGGCTCAAGCTGAGAGGAGCTTTTCAAAACTTGATCAAGTCATACCTGAGGTCACTTATGTTTCAGGGGTCGCTCACTAACCTGTCTCTGATTAGTATCAATCACTCAGTAGGGGAGCAGATTTCATATGATGACATTATTGATGACGTTGCATCAAGGTTAGGTTTTAATTTTAGTTTGTGTTTTCTGTTCTAAGTGCAATGCTGTAGTGATTATCTTTAGTTTGTTATGTGTGAAATATTTTTGCTATTTAGAATATTTATTATATATTATGTTCATATATTCTTAATATTTAGTTATTGTTTGTTTTTGTATATTTGATTCTATATATTTTGATACAGTATATAATGTATATTGCTTTACATTCTGACAACTTCATAGTAATTAATGTAAATATGTGCAACTTAGAAAAATGAATGTTCAATAGTCGTTCTAATAAAACATGCCTGTTTGTAGAAAACATGCGTGTGTTCATGCAGGTGGGGTGGTGGTGGTGGGGGGGCGGTTGGGGGTGGGGGGCGCTCAAAGGGGGCCTCGCCCGGGGAGTAATTCGATGTAGAACCGCCACTGGCTACTTGAGTACTGAGTATCATCTGATCTAAGATTTTTAAAATGATGACATCAAACAGACATAAAATAAGAAGTTATGGGCAAATATTGGTATTTTAAAGACTAAAGGGGAAAAATGTAAACAAATAAACAACATAATTACAAAATAACACATTTTAGGCAAAATTTAGACACAAACTGAGGACAATATTTCCTGACATACAGGATTTATTTAATTGTGTGAAAATGTAGCACGTTTAAAAATATACCGCGATAATACCGAAAACCGTGGTAATTTTGGTCACAATAACCGTGAGGTTAAATTTTCACACCGTGACAACCTTAATACAGACCATTTTAGATTAGGTTACATTTCCTTTATTCCTAGATTATGTAGTTTGTAGCACTCATTATAATGTTGTAGAAAATTTCTGGCCAATCCACGTGATCGGTATCGGTGATCAGCATTCTTTGATATCGGTATCGGTGATCGGCAGCAAAAAACCTGATCGGTGCATCCCTAGTCTCAACACCGACTTTGGGAAAATAAGGCATGAACGAGAAATATTTCCATTCATCTCTTGGTCCGTTCTTTTGCCACCAATATACTCAAAACTCATCGGCTTTAAGAGGGAGAATTGCATTTTTGTTTCAGTTGGGGAATGGATAGATGGATTATTTTTCTATCATTAAAGCTACTACTAAGTTTTAATTACTAACATGACTAAATAAAGCATGTTTTTTGAAAGATTAAAGATGGATTTCCAGCATCTACATCCATATAGAGGTACTCTTTTAGAAAACCTGAACTGCATCTTAGTTTGTTGGAGGTACTATAAATCCCAGCTGAAATTGCTCTTGTTTGTTGTGAAAACTACAACAAATGCACCTTATCCTCCTTCACTGCAATCCTGCGTGTGTGCTAATCCATCATCTAAGACCCCTTTTTTCTTCCAGCCTACACACTTTAATTACCTGTGGTGCGCTTGTAGCCACAAGAAAGGCATTTGTTCTTCCAGGGTGGTCATAGTCGTGCATGGCAGCAGCTACGTATAGGGCCATGAGCTCCAGGGCGGGAATGAGACCAGAGAGGGAACCATACCCATCCTCCAGTACAGAGCTCAGTTTGGACACCAGTAACCCCGTAATACCAGGTGTAACGCTGTTCACGGAGTCTAGAAACAAATAAGAAACATAAAGTGGCTCTTTTTCTTAACCTTTATTATGTTACAGACCCATTGTTAACCAAGCTGATGACAACTGACACAGTAAAATGATACTGGTAGACTAGCAGTTGCATGGAGAAGACATATTTACTGTTTAGTTTTTATTCTTTGTTTTTTTTTTTTTGTCTTACAGCAACATTACATTTATATAACTAAGTAAAAAAAGAATACAATAAAACTGAGGTTTCAATTTGAAAGTTACAGCATTTATACTAGATCCTCACCAGAGTGTATTCCGTTCTGAGTCGGCAGGGTGGGTAAGCCCGGCACAGGCTGAGTGGTGAGGTACCACACAGCATGCAGCACGTCAGTAGCATGGATTCGGTTGTGATCTAGAGAGAATAGTTATGAATAAAAGAATTAACTTCATGAAATGAAGAAAAACAATATAATGCACAAGAACAGGAATATAACGATACAAATGTAGAGTTCTGCTTTTTGCAGATGATGGGAGTCTGTAACCTTCAGCATGCATTGTGGTAGTTTGCAGCTGTGTGAAACAGTGAAGATGACAATCAGCTCCTCCAACTGGGAGAAGGCAGAGAGCTAGAGGAGGTCCTCTCCTCTCCTCTGAGTTGAGTTGATGCTCCTCCACATCAAATGTAGTCACTAGAGGTGTTTTGAAGATCAAATTAGGACTTCCTTTACTGGTTTTCTGTAAATATGATAGTGGAATGGGACTATGGGGAATGGCTAAAAATTGTTTTCTATATCCTCTCTGGTTTGGGATCATCTTATATTCTCCCAAGAGGAGTTGGAGGATGTTGCTGAGGTGTCCGAGTTTGCCCTACTGGATCGATTACCTTACATCTCAAATTTAGAGAAGTGGAAGGATGAATAGAGATCAACAAGAGAGGGAAAGTGGTTATTTTTCTTGCTTTTTTGGAGGTTATCCACGATCTCATCTCATTATCTTAACCGCACATTTCAGGTGAAGCTGGTGCCTAACTCCAGCTGAAGTGAGCGAGAGGTCTGGGACACTGTGGACAGGTCTCCAGTCCATCACAGGGCCACGCAAACATTGTGCAGAAACAGGATTCAAACCTGCAACCTTCTTGCTGTAATGCAACAGTGCTATGTGTGCCACGCAGTCTAACAATTCAAACAGGAGTGCATGTATAAATAAAACCACAGGAAAAATAACGACAGCTGATCTTGGTGGGGTTTTTTAGCAGGAAAAGAATATGACAAAATGCACAAAGGTTTTAAATGGGAGGGATAACATCTGTTCAAGTTCCAAGGATTTCTAACTTCAGATTAGAGAGACGTTTATGGAACTGATCTTTACATTTTAATAGAGGATGAAAAAAAAATGACAGAGTATGTACACTAGCAAAACAAAGTTTTACCAAAGAGGATAAACAAAAGCTAAACTAAAATAGAAATATTACAAAGACAGAAAATATTTAGAAATGTCTCATGTTGAGTGCCGCTTGAGTCTTTGGGAAAAGAAAAGGACCTTGGTGCCACAAAAAGGCATTTTGGTCATGCTGAGTGTTAATAGGATGGTTTCTGATGATATATATACATATATATATATACATATGTATATGTGTGTGTGTGTGTGTGTGTGTTTTAATGTATTGTTTTTCTTACTGCCTCCAGTGATTACTACTCATTCTGTTTGATGACTCGGCTCAATTTTATATTCAACATCTGAAAAGTTCAGTATTTCTGTGAATTATGAAATACATTAGCTTGTTTGAAGATTCTCCAGCTTTGTATGAATGGCTAAAATATTAATAAAAAAGCTCTTGCTCCTGTTGGTAACCCATTTTCTGTCTGAAACAACACACAGTCAGAAATCTCTGCAGTTGCAGGTTTATTTCACGATCCACGTCGCCACCATGTGGCTGCTAACGCCCCTGCAACGTGCACACTTCCTTTTCAATTACTCACAAGGTATATCCCTGTATCCGTTCTCCAAAGCATGGAAGTAGTTCATGAACTCTTTAATGGGAATCCTGAAGGTTCCGAACAGACCCGTGTCCTCAAAGAGCCAATAGGAAACCTGAAAAACGACAACACAGTCACTAAAGTTTTACTCTAGCTTCAAAGTTTAAAAATGTCTTTTTAGACCTTATAGCTTAGTTCAAGAAGGAAAAGGGTGACTTGTTTATGTGATAATTAAAGTACTAAAGTTGGGGTCGAGACCTCACTGTTGCTTCAGTTGCTGAAGCTATATTTATTGCATAGCTGTTACAAAAACTCAAATATATAATGTTTATAAGTGAGCATGAGCTGAAGTGGTTTTCTTTATTCCCTGAATGATGCAGCTTTATAAGCATGTTTGTTTGGTCAAATCAAATATATCTGTGGTTGGATGTATAGATAAATTGCTATTTTGTGCATCTGAAGCTCTCAGTTTTGCTGCCTTTAAGAACAGATGAGGAGACGTTCACCAGTCCATCAAAATTGTCAATCAACTGTTTATTTTAACAAGTTCATATAAGAGTTTTCAGTCAAATGAAATTAAATAAGAGGGCTGTGCTAAAAATGATTTTAATTGCTTCAAGAATATCTCTAAATGCAATGCTATGATTTTCATCAATACTGGATTAGATTGGGACTAGACTAATTTGTGAATGAAGAAGAGTCAGGAATCGTCCTAATCTTAGAGTGGTTGTGTGTAGACCCACAAACAACCAGAAATGTTACATGTAAAGTAATTTTTCTCTGCATGTTTGTCACTATTACTGAGGCTAGGTATTTCATAACACCTTATATGATAATGATAAATGACTCACACTTATATACCGCCTATCTGAGTCAGACGACTCCAAAGTGCTTTCATTCATTCACCCATTGATGGTGAGGAGCAACAGTGTCACCACAGCTGCCCTGGGGCACACTGACAGGCTAAAACTACCCCCCACCCCCCACCCCACCCCACCTGCTAGTGCCGCTACCTGACTGAGGATGCAGCCCGTCTTGCCGTGAGTCTTTTCAACTAGACTGAAAATTGGGAAGTTCCAGTTGTTGAGCTGACTCATCAGGGACTCCAGTCCTGGCATCACTGGACTCTCCAGGTCAGAGATAGGCTTTTTCTGGCAGGTGGAGGCATCAAGAAACAGGAAAGGCTATAAAAGGCATTTTGTAGGTTCAATGAAATAAAATATGACTTGTTTGTCACTAAATGTGAAATGTTTATAGGATCCTAAACTATCTTTTGTGTCTGCCCTCCCTTTTTCCATCTGTGCAGATTGCCTACCTCTGGAGAGGCCTGAAGAGAGTGAAGAACAACCCCCTCTGCTGGATAGTCTCTGCAACCGTCCCTGACTTCAGGCGGCTTCTTGCCGCCTTCACCCTCTTCATCGTTTTGTGCAAAGTCGCTGCTGTCACTGTGGTTGGTCTCATAGGTGCTGTCGTAGGTGCTGTCATAGTCTGATGATGCTACTGCACGCTCATCTGAGAAGACATCACTGGCATTAAAAGTGGAGCCTTGCTGCATCTTTGCTACTGTAACCATAGAAATAGCTATGATTAACAGTGAGACGAGTACCTGAGTGGGGTAGTCTGTCTCCTTTACTGCCAGATTCAATTCCATTGTTTAACCGATTGTTGAACGGCCTGCCACAACTGGAAGACAGCATGTGGAGAAGCTCAGCTGGACAACATGTTTCGGTCAGTCTTTATCATATTATCTCATATTAATAATTAAGATCTTTCACTTCCCTTAACTAAATACAAAAAACTCACAATTTAATATAAATAAATGAAAATGATAGGTTGCTGTCTTCGTTCTGATTCGTAAACACTACCTGCTGCATAGTGATGGAGGCCGCCAGTGAATGGTGGTGGAGCTTGGGGCGCTCTGGCTGTGAGTTAAGGCTCTGTGATGGCTCTTGGGGGCCACAGAGTCAGGTGGCTGCTCTATCAGCGGCCCAGGCGGCTCAGGATGCTGCGCTGAACACATCTTTATCGTGGGACTGGAGACGGGGCTTCCCTGGATGGGAGGAGATGGGCATGGAGAGCCCAGAGGTGATATGTTGGAAGGGGGAAAGCCTATAAAAAGACCACATTAGTGATTTAGAGTAAAGTGCTAAACTGTGTTTGTTGGTCACATTGTAAACACACACACACACACACACACACACACACACACACACACACACACACACACACACACACACACACACACACACCTGGTCTTCCGAGTGGTTTGCTGTACAGGTGGTTGGAAGTGCCAGAGGCAGTACAAGAGGCGGACATGGAGCGGCTCTTTGAGATGGTCATCATCAGTGAGTTGTTCCATGAATCACTGCTTTAATGTAAGAAAATCCATCAGATACAGAGTTTAAAGTTTCCTCTCAATACTCCAGGTGATGCTGTGATCACCTGTCTGGAGTGAGCCTGATGCTGGCGGAGCGATCTCTGCGTACAGGTCCTGGCTCGATGGTGGGCAGACCTGTCGCTGAGGTGGTTGTGGTCCAGGTTGATGAAAGTCTCCTCAGCAATCCTGGGGGCAAACTTCTTCTCAGACACTGCAGAAATACATAAATCCATTTGCACATTTTGAAGGCCTGTGTTAAAGTGAAAACGCACGCCGAAGTAAAAATGTTTCAATATAAGACTTTTAGCTCAGGCCCTCCAGAGGCCTAGGAGCTTGGACAGAGATCCATGAGGTTGTTCATGGGATCTGCTGAAGCAGGGGGTCATTTGAGGTTATCCAGGCATGCCTCCTTGTGGACTTCCTATGGAAGGCACAACCCAATGGGGCAGAGCTAAAACTCATTGGTCTGGAAATGCCTTGGGACCCCTCAGGAGAAGCTGGAGAGTGTTGGACTGAATTGACTTATTGGCTTTGAATCTGGACCTGTTTTGATAAGGTCTCTGTGGTGTCAGTGGTCAGTGAAGGTGACCAGAGAAGAACCTCAAAGACCATAACAAGCTAACTAACACCAGTTGGAACTGTATGTATGTCTGAAGTCAGAATAAGCACAATAAACAGCTTTTATGATGAGAAGTGTAAATCTTAAAACTGCATCTACCAAATCATTGAAGATGGTCCAACAGAGCAGAGTAAACATCTGTAATGAGTCCACTTGAGGAATCCCAAAAGGCCAATTAAAATTCAAGCAATGTAAAACCCAGTGACAATTCACACAGGGTTTCTTGTCAGGTCTATATCTGCCATCTCCTCTTTTTCCCACCATAAGTCCCAACAACTGCAGCTTGCTAACAGTTTAGTTATTTTGCAAATACTCACTAATTGTTCCTCAGAAAAAAATAGGTCTTTGAACTAAATGTGTTGTTTTATTTCAGTTCAGAACAAAACCTAAATGTCAGAAACCCGCAGAAGGCAGAGTGAGGGAAATAAAAAGATGGCTCCACCCTTGCATGCACCAAAGAAATCAACTGGTGATCAAACTGGCCAGTAAGAGGGCTTAAAGAGCAAGTCAGCCCCTCCCAGAGTCTTATTCTCCTTCCGCTTCCTGTTTGAAAAAATTAACTAATGCTGTTGCCTGGCAGACTGAGAGGGCGGACCCGCTAACAAATACACACACACACACGCATTGGGGTGGGGGGTTCAAACTCTATAAACTACCAAAACTTCAATAAAAACACCCAAAAGTGTAGCTCAGACTGAAGTTACACATCTCCACCATTTTCTGGTGTAAAGTAATAACTTTATGGGGGATTCATTTGGCTCGTTAAACCAATATTGCGATTTTGGCGCTTAAAGGGTTAATTTTACAGTCCTTCAAATGTTATGGTTCCAATTACTGACTTAATCAATTCTTTCAGTGTGTTCAGTCTTGGTTTTCTCATTTTTGGTTTTTGGTTTCGGCCAAGAAATTTCATTCCATTGTATCCCTGAAACAGACTATTGCCAAGTTGTAATTAAAGCAGCAATAACAGATTTTCCATGGACATTTTACTCTTAAGAATCAGAATATGTTTTAAGAAGTTTTCAATAATTATAACTTTTTAAAAAAGAAATCAGAATTGGTCAATCATCTGTTTCGACTAGTTGGAAATCAAAACTGGCTAATAAAACTAGAATTGGTGCATCTCTAACACAAATCCTTTAAAAAGCAACTCCTTATTTTCCCAACGTGATGCTTTGTTCTCAGACAGCAGGCTTACTTAGATTGTATAAAAGTGGAACGGACCTAGAGCTAGTACTAGACTGGAGCTTGTGGGGGATCACAGCGCCTCTTGATTTTTATCTTGGGACGCACTTTATAAAAGATTGTTTTCTTTCTTTCTTTAATTAAATCCAAGGTTGTTGTTTTTGTTTGACTGAATCAAATTAGATGAAAACTGCTGAAACTAAATGGGAGAAGAAAGGTTTACAGTCAAAATAAAGATCCCTGCCTTTATATGAAATCGTGTCACAGCAGTGTCAGTGGCTTTATTCACCATGACACCTATAATGAACTCGAATCAGACAGCACCTGTTTCAGATTCATCTGAGTGAATCCAGATGGCTCAAACAACCACTTACTTACAGCCAGGCTATCCTGTTTCACATCACACAATTAAACAAAAAGTGTAACTGTTTCTTATCTCAAAAGGAAATGCTTTACTTTATTGATGTACTCTTTTGAGAGTAAACCTTCTCCAGAACTCTAAAAATCACCCTAAAGCAACAGCTAGCACTGCAGGCCGGGAGAGAAAGGACAGGTGCATCGGGCGAACTATTTATGCAAAAACCGTGGCACGTCTCAGTGACATGTCTAGTTTAGATCTATTTATAAGAAACGCATCCCATTATTTTAATAAACCTCTTCAAAACAAGCCGTTTATAGCACGCTCCAGTTAGCACGTGTGAAGCAGAGTTATCTGCTTTAGTAAAATGCTTCTCAAACGATCACAGAGCTCTGACATAGGACTGATTAATCTTTAGGAAGAAGACAAACCTTGGGAATAGCCAGTCTCTCCGTTTTCTCCGGCCCCTCCTCTGAGTCGGAGCAGGTGTGTGTGTCCGTGGGGATGCGAGGTCGATGCAGCGGCTGCAGGTTGATTTGGGTGCTGAGGAGGTTGCTGACTGCCTTTAAAGAGCTACAGGTGTTGGGAGGCAGGGAGGGGTCAGCCAGCAGATCTGAGATCAGGCCGTGGGCCTCACCCATCACTGCGATGTCCACTACCACACTGGTGCCCGGCGTCTGGACAGCAAGATGAAAAGAAAACAGAAATGCAATGGTTTTGAGAATTCTTTGTTCATTTTTAAAACTAGCATGATGCAGGTGTTATTTTTTACAGAGATCAGGAAAATTGAAAAGAATTTACCCTCTTTCATAACCTCCTGTCTGAAGGTAGCAGTTCAGACTCATCTGTGTCACTAGTCAGCTTTGTTTCATTCCAATAATGGATTATATTATTAAAGATCCTCTTTTGCTTGGGATCAATTTCTTCACTCATATTTGTATAAAATTCAAGCTTTATACACACACCCTAATTGTTTATTTAAAACAAGGCAAAACTGTGCTTAATAACATTAATATTATTCGCAAATCTTTAAAACTGCATAAAAAACATGTTTTAATTAATTCTGCTATGTGCAGATTTTCTTTAGCCTCACTTCAATAAACAGGAGAGACGTGTGAAGATTGGAAATGCACTTATTTCATGCTGACCTTATTCAGCTAACAATATAGGTTTATGCAATGTAGCGTCCAGGAATGGCCAGTTTTCATCAACAGTTTGACCTTTTCAGTGGCCGGTCATCTACAGACATGTATCTGCCTCTCTGCGTCTCTTAATCTTCCGAGCTGCAGGAAAGATTCACCACTGCGTGTTTACACTCTGATTGTCAACATCATGTTCCTTCCTCAAGGTTCCTCTCTGCAAAGCTGCAGCCTTATCTATCCACTTGCTTCACAGGACAAAAGAAGAACTTTTACAACTCATAGGTGACATAATCATTAAATAATAATATGGTTGAATGGACAAATGTTATATGAATACTAGTATTAATGTTTGAATAATCTGTGCCTAATTCAATGAAGTTGAATTGAATTTTACTATTACAATGAAACATTTTGACGTTGTGATCAGTAATGTTTGGTTTAACAAGTGAATCATTATCTGCACTCATACACAATGTTCAAAACATATGAATTAAAGTTAACATCACTGCACATAGATGTTTTCTTGCCCACAAATCAGAGCATCCTGTATCTGAGAAGGCGTGATGTTCTGAGGGTTGTTGGTTAACACCTCTTAACATGGCACGTCCCCATTGGCCAAGTAAATCATAACATGAGAATATTAAAACAGGATCACCTGCGGAGTGATTCAGCATTCAGTCAGTTTTTGAGCAGAACTCGGGACTGGCCACCGGAGGAAACTCTCTCTAACCACCGCATCTCTTGACAAGCTTTCGACAAGCTAAAACCTGCCTGCAGTGACACAGCAACGTGTTCCTTCACCTATTCAGAAACAGCTGTTCTAGACGCAAACTAGTTCTGACCTGTTATGCCTGGTGACATCTCGGTGCTGCGGTTAATCTACTTAACATCGGTGCCCAGAGGTCATCCAACCTTCCTGACCTCCGGATCCGCAAAGAGGGTCTCCAAAAGGGTGAGGTAGACACAGCATGAATTGCGTCTGATGTGGTTTTGATAAGAACCAACTTTGTTTAATGCAGACCAAATTCTTTTCACACTCAGAACTCAGTTTCTTCTAGATACAAGGTTCTGATAAACACACACCATTCAATCATCATTCCATCCACTTAAATTCATCCATCACATTTGTCTTATTTAACTTGTCTTGTTTTTAATTTGTTTAGAAAAGAAATTTCTTGCTTTTTATAAACCTGATTCTGTCTGAATTAATACGAAGTGTGTTTGATCACTGAAAAGGCAAAGAATCCTAAATCTTCTGATAAAACATTCAAAGACCAATCAGAGTGATACTCCATATTTATATAAAATATAAATGCTTATTGGTCATAAGTAAAGGTAATATATTAAGCTTAAAAGCAATGATATTTACCCCTACAGCAATATAGTGATCGTCTTGTTATATAGGGAGCCTAAATCCCTCCCACCTACTTCCAGACCATGGCTCCCCGGAAGAACAGAAAAATGAATGCAAGTCGCTGGGGCTATAAAAGTTATTTTCTAATTCTGTTTGTTATGTGCCATGGATTTCACATAAGATGTCCATGAATTTTCAAGACACATTTTGATGCCAAGAACGCTAATTCTCGAACGAGGAGAAATGTTGTTATAGGTTTTGTGTGAAAGTAAATCCTGGACTACCAATGTGCTTCACCAAAGTGACATGATCAAAGCAGACACGGAAAAAATAGAGGAAAATGACTGTAAGTTCAGCGAACTTTAAATCCTTCCTTCAGGAGGAAAGAACCACCATAAATCTGGCCTTGTGGTAAGTAGCAGCTATGCTAGGGGAGATTATGTGGTGACATCACATATGCGACATACCGATGTCTGATTTGTAGTCATGCTAATTACGAACTTTTACAAACTGATAAGTCTCAAAATACGTGACGGATGTGGTCAAAAAACACATCATAACTTTTCATTTAAGTATAAGGACAACATATGTGAGATCCAGGGCGTAAAGCAAAGCAGATTAGAAAATAGCTCTTTTAGACCCGTTTACTTGCATTCATGATTTCGTTCTTTGACCCATGAGCCGACCGGAAAGGGAGGAGACTTAGGCTCCCTATTAGTTTCTCTTTTATAATAAATAAAGATGTTCTGATGGCAACAAGCAATGGGGAAGGTGAATCTTTATCCTGTTTTCTTTTCTACAGATTTTTTAAAAGGTAACTCATTCCAGTCTATTTTACTCTATTAACCCTCCCACTGTCCGAATGGGCGTGACCCCGTGAGGAAAGGTGACCATTGAGCAGGGTTGATGGTTTATCACATGGGTCCACGTGGCAGGGGTGAGGAGTGAGCACCACCTCACCCCTGCCACGTGGGCCTCATGTCACGACGTGCGCGGAGTGGAGCGGAGGAAAGGCGTGGATCCAGACCGGGGAGGAAAGAGGCAGGCAGGTAGGAAATCTTAACATGGGTTTATTAAGCACGATGACACTGGAACAATGACACCACAAGGAACACAGAACAGCAGGGGTTTAAATACATGAGGAACGGGAGCTATGGTGATTGGGAAACAAGAGGCAGGTGGGAGCAATTAACGGAGACACAGACTACAACCTAGGAGAAGACAGGACAGGGTGTGACAGTACCCCCCCCCCCCCCCCCCCCCCCAAAGGGCGGATTCCAGACGCCCACAGGAACCAGGAGCAGGGTGGGGGGAGGGGGACCCGGAGGGAGGGCCCAGAGGACGATGGAGAGGCAGGGAACGGCAGAGTCCGGGGGCCGGCGCCTGCGGCAGACGAGGAGGCGACGGGCCCTTGGAGGCCGGCGCCTGCGGCAGATGAGGAGGCAACGGGCCCTTGGAGGCCGGCGCCTGCGGCAGATGAGGAGGCGACGGGCCCTTGGAGGCCGGCGCCTGTGGCAGATGAGGAGGCGACGGGCCCTTGGAGGCCGGCGCCTGCTGCAGAGGAGGAGTCGAGGTGCCTCTGGAGGCTGGCGCCTGCTGCAGAAGAGGAGGCGACGGGCCTCTTGAGGCCGGCGCCTGCGGCAGAAGAGGAGGCGATGGGCCCTTGGAGGCCGGCGCCTGCGGCAGATGAGGAGGCGACGGGCACTTGGAGGCTGGCGCCTGCTGCAGATGAGGAGGCGACGGGCCCTTGGAGGCCGGCGCCTGCGGCAGATGAGGAGGCGACGGGCCCTTGGAGGCCGGCGCCTGCGGCAGATGAGGAGGCGACGGGCCTCTGGAGGCCGGCGCCTGCTGCAGATGAGGAGGCGAGGAGCCTCTGGAGGCCGGCGCCTGCGGCAGAGGAGGCGACGGGCCTCTGGAGGCCGGCGCCTGTGGCAGAGGAGGAGACGAGGAGCTCTGCAGGCTGGACCGGCAACAAAGTCTCTGCAGGCTGGACCGGCGACAAAGTCCCTGCAGGCTGGGCCGGCGACAAAGTCCCTTCAGGCTGGGCCGGCGACAAAGGCCCTGCAGGCTGGGCCGGCGACAAAGTCCCTGCAGGCTGGGCCGGCGACAAAATCCCTGCAGGCTGGGCCGGCGACAAAGTCCCTGCAGGCTGGGCCGGTGACAAAGTCTCTGCAGGCTGGGCCGGCGTGGCCCTCAAAACCACCATCGGAACTGGAGACCGTGGAGGCGCCGGGCTGGACGCAGCGTCAGCCTCTTGAGTACAGAGAGCATCCCCAGACGAGCCGACTTCGGACGAGCCAACTTCAGGGGCGGCAACGTCATCGGACGAGCCGACTTCAGAGGAGGAGGCGGCGATGTCATCGGACGAGCCGACTTCGGGGGTGTCATCAGAGGAGCCGACTGCGGGGACGTCATCAGAGGAGCCGACTGCGGGGACGTCATCAGAGGAGACGACTGCGGGGACGTCATCAGAGGAGACGACTGCGGGGACGTCGTCAGAGGAGACGACTGCGGCGACGTCGTCAGAGGAGACGACTGCGGCGACGTCGTCAGAGGAGACGACTGTAGCGACGTCGTCAGAGGAGACGACTGCGGCGACGTCGTCAGAGGGGACGTCATCAGAGGAGACGACTGCGGCGACGTCGTCAGAGGGGACGTCATCAGAGGCGGTGGCGACGTCGTCAGAGGGGACGTCATCAGAGGCGGCGGCGACGTCATCAGAGGCGGCGGCGACATCGTCAGAGGAGACGTCATCAGAGGCGACGACTTCGGACACGTCGTCATCAGAGGCAACGACTTCGGACACGTCGTCATCAGAGGCAACGACTTCGGACACGTCGTCATCAGAGGCGACGACTTCGGACACGTCGTCATCAGAGGCGACGACTTCGGACACGTCGTCATCAGAGGCGACGACTTCGGACACGTCGTCATCAGAGGCGACGACTTCGGACACGTCGTCATCAGAGGCGTCGACTGCAGAACAGGAAGGGGCGTCGACTGCAGAACAGGAAGGGGCGTCGACTGCAGAACAGGAAGGGGCGTCGACTGCAGAACAGGAAGGGGCGTCGACTTCAGAACAGGAAGGGGCGTCGACTTCAGAACAGGAAGGGCCATTGACCACCATCGACTTCGGGTCCAGGGGCGTCGACTTCTGGTCCTTCGATTTTCGGACCGTCGA